TCTCTACAGACCCCAAGGTCAGTGAAGAAGGAGGGGCAGGAGGTGCTCCAGGCACCGGAGCAGAGATTCCCCTGCAGCCCACAGTGCAGCCCCTGGTGAGGCAGCTGTGCCCCTGCAGCCATGGGGGGTAACGGGGGAGCAGATCTCCACCTGCATCCCGGGGAGGAGCCCACACCAGAGCAGGTGGATGCCCAATGGGGGCTGTGACCTCATGGGAAGCCCACGCTGGAGCAGGATCCTGGCAGAACCTGTGGACCTGTGGAGAGAGGAGCACATGCTGGAGCAGGTTTGCTGGCAGGACTTGTGACCCTGTGAGGGATCTGCACTGGAGCAGATGAACTGACCAGAGATCCCATTGCCCTTAGGGATTAGGTTTTTACAGAATAAAAAACTCTATTCCCATATTTCCCCAGAGGTATCATCATCACTGAATAAATTTATTATTGATTTGCAACTTCAAAATCCTGCTACATGTCAGCTTGCTACGAAAACAAGACTAACTTGATAAACCAACTGATTTGATACAAAAGCCTAAATGCAGACAACTGCATTAAATCATGTTCATCTAACAATAGTTGAGAGCCCATGGAGTCATCTAACAATAGTTGAGAGCCCATGAGACCCCCAAGGTGATATGAGATCATGCAGGACCTACAGAAGACCTGAACTGGCTGCTGACAGACAAAATATTCTGCAGTATCTCAAACAGTATTAGATGCCTATGTGTAGGCAACAGACACAAACCCCTGGTGTCTAACTTAGCATGAGCTGAATAATTCTCTAGGCAACACTGACTATGTTATTTAGATTACCATTGACTGTGGTCTAAACTCAGACACATGGCTGACATAAAGACAGATAAATATAGCTGCTACTGATCTAAATTCCACCCCTTAGGCTTAATTAATTTGTTTATGTTCAGGCAATAGAAAAAAGCCCACTGATTCTTTGGCTATCTTTTTTATTAATTATTTTATATGATGTTTAAGCGAATTTCATTTCTGAAATACCTGGCATGGAATAGCAAGGAAGTTTTGGAGCCATAGACACTCACTTTATTATCTAAATAAATCTGTGAGAAAGAGGTTTTAAGGATACAAATGAAAAGTAGATGGATTTACAACATCAGTTTTAATCATGATTTAAAAAAATCAGTTGCAATCTTGGCTTTTGGGTTTTTTTCCTATACACACACACACAAAGAGAGTTTCATTGATTAGTAATCATTAAGGCATTCAACTAGAAAAAACTTTTACATTTGTAAATTTGCTGCTTCTTTTTGCTAGATTTGTAAGTATTCCTTGTATCTGTCGAGGACTAGGAAATTTAATAGAAATATTATCATTATATTTACCTTTTAAAACACTTATTAAAAAGCAGGAGTAACTGTTATTTAATAGGCTGTTTATTTACTTGTGGAAGGCTTTCTGGGAGTATAAATAGGAATTCAAATAGTAATACAGGAAAAAAGCTTTTGAAATGGTTAATTAAATGCTTTAACTTTTAAATTCAAATTTTAAAATCCACATGTTCATTTTATAATTACATGTACATTTTACTTTTATACTCTTTTATTTGAAGATAATAATTTACAAAGTATGACCAGTGTCACATATTTTAATACATAAAATTATTTTTGCTTTTTATCCACTGTGAACTTGTACCAATTAATGACCTATTTCCCATTAACATTTACTGGAAGGAAGGCATTCAGCTGCCAGTGCTGCCTTTGAAAATTATTCCTCAACCCTTTTCTGCAGGGAGACAAACAGCAGCTAGCTTGGTTTCTAATAAAACCTTAAAATTAAAACAGACTTTTTCTTTTTCATGAAAACAAAATTTATAAAAATTGTGCAGCCCAAATCCAGGGCATATCATAATTTGAGAATAGCATACAATTTCATACTAGTTATCCATTTTTATGGTTTTAAGAAGAAAGTAGTATGGATTTTTGCAGAAGTGGTAAATATATTGTGATAAACATCTCAGAAGTTTGCATCTTTTATCTGTGTGATCTGATAACTAAAACCAATCAGTTCAAATCAAGCCACATGTTCACATAATGCTAAGAAAACCTTACAAGCATCAAACACATACATGCCCAGGTGCTTCAGATATGTAAATGGTTCAGGTGGCCTAATTTTAATAACTGAACTCTACAGTGGTATGTCTTTCAAATAATGTATTTTAGGCAATTCATTTTTCAGTAACATCATATGAATCAGAATAAGAATCTTTGACATGCCAACAACAACAAACCAGAAGAAAACAAAACATCAACAAAAAACATTAAAATGGGCCAAAACTGGGACTGATCTGTAAATGTTGAGGATGTATAATACAGCAAGATCTAACACCAGAGCTATTCAGGGAGCACTTGGATAACTTTAGGTCATCTTTGCCCTGTCATAAGGGGATGTTACAGTATACAAATGCTGCACAGAATCACAGAATCCTGCAGTCAAAAAGTGACCTTCGGAGGTCATCTAGTCACATCTGTGCAGAGCAGGTTCAGTTAAAGCAGATTGCTCAGTACTGTGTACAGTCGGCTTTAGAGTGATGAACATCCCACAGATGAACATCCCACATGACCTCTGGGCATCCCGTTCCAGCATTTGACAACCATCACATGAAGTACTGTTTACATTTTTCTTGGAAAATTTCAGTGTGTTCCCTTTTCAGGCCCAGTAGGGAAATGATTCCTTTTTCCACAACTGAGATGTATCCAAGCACTGAACAAGTTCACTGAACATTACTGATTTACTTGTCTCTCCATTACTTGATTCAATGCTATTAAAATCAGTATTACCTCAAGTGTATGGGGTACAATTCCTTTATGTAAGGGGATTATTAGCACTGCATGAACAGTTGATCCTCTAGAGCCTGATTCTGTTAATTTTTTATAGATGGCTACCATATTCTACGCTCTTCTGGTGAAATGTTTTGGGTTCAGGTCTGGATGAATGCAAGACTGGGACACCTGTTGCCAGAGAAGTGAAACAAGTGTGAAAATGGTCAGCAGATGTGCTCATATGCTTTATACCTCCTAATGGTTCAATATACAAAAGTAAAAGGGAAGAAGGGATTAAACTCTTAGCTTACTTTTTTCTATGTTAACCTTCATTTTATTTATCTTCTTTCCGTTTTCTTTTCTCTTATGATTGATAAAAAAAAAAAAAATCATGTATATTTATTCATTTATACCAAAGCAAAATAAAAGTAAACCAACCTTCTGTTATAAATCTGTAATGCTCTTTTTTCCATGCTTTAATCAAGCCTGAGAGTAGATAGGAGAAATGCAAGGCAAAGGTTAACATCTTTTTTGTCATATAGTTATAATCACTTGAGACAAAGAAAGTGTAACTTTTAATACTCTCCATTGTTCTCTTTTTCATCTTACTGTGGTTTTTTCATTTGGCTTTTAACAATAACTATGTTCAAACTCCCTGTGTTCTCTGAAGATTTCTAAATGTAATATATATTCTAAATACCAAATAGATATCCACAGCTTAAACTGACAGCTATAGTTACAAGGTAAATATTTTGTTCTAATCTTGCAAATCATGTTTGAGTTAACAAATCTTCAGTCATTTCCTAATATTTTTCATATTCTGAAGATTCGTCTATGGTGTGTTTAAATATTATCTCAGAGCAGTCAAGTATCTGCAGCTTCCACAGAAAAACAACATTGGTCCTGGTGATCTGTGTCAAAGAAACCTATAGTAAGTCATTCTCACTTTCTGAAAATGTGAAGGTATTCCTGGTAGTATTAGATAAATACATACCTCATCTGCACAACTTCTGTTATCAAAATCCATTTAAATAAATCCTGCAATGTTTTTCAGCCCTGAAAGTCATCACATACAAATAGATGGCTGTGGACATGGAAAAACAAATTTATAGACAAATAGAATTGTATACCTGTTGAAGATTGCAAAACAGGTTCCAAACACAGTTTGTCAGCAATTTTGACTTGTAAAATAATTTAAATGTCTTACCTACTTTTTTCTTTTAGAACAGAATTTCCATTTATAGCAGTTTTGCTCTACCTTTTATTACTTTTCTGATACCACCTTTGTTTTATAATCTCTTTTATCCTTCTTAGTCCCAGGAGAAACAATTAGATTTTCTTTTCTTCCCTCTTTCATTTTTTTCTTTCTTTTCTTTTTAATTTATGCTTCTCCTGTATCATTTCCTTACTCAATAATTGCATATGATTGAGGACATGGAAAAGACTGAGGTACTGGCAGCCTTCTTTGCCTCAGTCTTAGTAAGTACATCTTAGTAAGCAAGATGGGTCTTCAGGAATCCTGGGTCCTGGAGACCAGAGAGAAAAGTCTGGAGCAAGGAAGATTCATCCTTGGTGGCATAGGATCAGGTTAGGGAACAAACCAGAATCACACAATCATAGAATGATTTGAGTTGGAAAGGAGATTTAAGGATCCTCTCATCCAACCCCCCTGCCATGGACAGGCACATCTTCCACTAGGCCAGGATGCTCAAAACCCTGTCCAATATGACCTTGAACACTTCCAGTGATAGTTCATCCACAACTTCTCTGGGCAATCTGTTCCATTGTTTCACTACCCTCATAATAAAAATTTTCTTCCTTATATCCAATCTAAACCTGCTCTTTTTCAGGTTAATAATGTTGCCCCTTGTTCTGTCACTACAAGACCTATTAAAAAATCTTCATCCATCATTTTTGTAAGCCCCCTTTAAGTTTTGCAAGATCACAATCAGATGTCCCCAGACCCTTCTCTTTTCCAGGCTGAACAACTCCATCTCTCACAGCCTTTCTCCATATGAGAGTTGTTCTATCCCTCTGATCATTTTTGTGGCTCTCCTCTGGACCTGCTTTATCATGTCCATGTCTTCCTTGTACTTGGGATCCCAGAGCTGGATGTAAGTACTGCAGGTGGGGTCTCACAAGAGTGGAGTAGTGGGGGAAAATCACCTCCCTCAACCTGCTGGCCATGCTTTGATGCAGAGCAGGATACTTTCTGGGCTGTGAAGGCACATTGTCAGCTTGTATCTAACTTTTTATTTACCAATATCCCAAAGTCCTTGTCTACAGGGCTGTTCTCAATGCATTTATCCCCATGATACTGGTGACTGCTGTGACCCAGGTGCAGGACTTTGTACTTGGCTTTGTTAAACTTCATGAGGTTCTCATGGGACCACTCAGCCTTTTCAACGTCCCTCTGGATGGCATCCCTTCCATCTAGTGAATCAACTGAACCATTCAGCTTGGTATTTTGGTCATATAAAGAGGTCAAAATTCCCATAATGTAGCCATTTTAATTTCATGTATAAAGTAGTTTTTCATTCAAGGAAAGCAAGTTCTTCATAATGTGGGAAACAGTTGCATTAGGTTTTTTAAACATATAACCTCTTTTTTTTTTTTTTATTCACTGCATTGATTTTATTATAGAACTTGCATGTTCTATAATATAGAACTGCTGAGGAAAAGCAACTTCTTTTTCTTTTACCAAACTACTGGTTAGAGTCACAGAGAGAAAACTCAGCTCAGCAGAAAAATGTCATTTCTACCCTTCAGTATACTGAAGTTGTAAGTCCCCTAGAGCTAGCAAGTATCGGTTTGTGTTATGAAATGAGGAAATAATTATAAATACATTTTTGGTGATGGTCTCATCTAGAGACTAAAACCATCACTGAGATTAAGGTACAATCTTTTTGTGTGTGTCTTGTTACTCCCTCAACAGCTAAAGTCCATTCTGTCCCTAAGCATTATATGACTGCAGCATACCCCCTCACAGTAATGTCAAGACTGGCAATGGCACAACTGGATGTTGTTGGATACCTAAAATCTTTTGATAATGCTTCATAAAAAATTAGTTACTTTGTTCCATCTACTTGTACAATTTATCCAACATTTGTCCAGACATTTAAGCTATATAACATATCCAGACATAATATAATTTATCCAAACATGTAAGTCAGAACGAGTCATAATATTTTTGCAGTCAGAGAAGTGAAATAGGTATTTCTATTGTAGAGTCCTTAATAGCATTCTAAGATTGGCAGATAAGAAAGGTCAGATATACTATCATTTATATATGCTTATTTCTCAATTCTCATCCAGAGGATGAAAGTCATAAGGTGTAGACCTCTGGAGCATATGCAGAGAAAGTGAAGCATGCTTTTCTGATGGTGGGAAAATGTATTATTTTTCTCTTCAAGTAACCTCTTACATTGCCAGAAATAACTCAATCTATCTTTTGATATATTACAACTGTTCAGACACATGTATGTGTATATGTGTGGTTTTAGTGAAACCTGTTGAAAGCTGGGTTTTTTCATATCAGAATGACAAAGAGACACTTGGAATTCCTGTAAAAATTTAGAAAGAATATAAGTGGTTCATAGTCAGGCATTCAAATGTGATCTCCCCACAATGCTTTATCACTGTATTTATTGGGTGTCTGTGACAAAGTTTTGGTAGCAGGGGTGCTGCATGTTTGACCTCTGTGAGGAGAGGTTGGAGCTGCCCTGTGCCAGGGACAGACAGTTCCAGATGGCTCTACAATGGACTGCAGCATGTGAAAGGACCCATGCTGGAGCAGGAGAAAAATGTGAGGAGGAAGGAGGGGCAGAGAGGAGCTGATATGGACCCGTAACACTCCCAGCTTCACCTCTCTGAGGGGTCATGTAGAGGAGTCAGGAGTGGAGTGAAATTGAGTCTGAGGAAGCAGAGTCAGGGGAGAAGCATTGTTTTAGTTGTTTGTCTTTGATTCTCATTACTCAAGTCTATTTTACTTGGTAGTAAACTAAATTAGTTTTCCCCAAGCTGAGTTTGTTTTTTCTATGATGGTAAATAGTAAGCAGTCACCCTATCTTTATATTGACCTGTAAGATTTTTCTGCCTATTTTCTCCTTCTGTCCTGTTGAGGAGGGTAAGTAAGAAAAAGGCTGGGTAGGCATCTGGCTGATGGATGTTAAACAAACATAATCACAAACAAGCTGTTTTTTTCAGTTTCCTTAACAAGTATTTGAATCTGATTTATATTGAAAGCATGAAATTTTAATATGCAAGTTATGTTCAGATTCACATTACAGAGATTTTAAGTTGTTGGGGTGTTGGTTTTTTTTTTGTTTTGTTTGTTTGTTTGTTTGTTTTGTTTTTTTTTTCCCAAAACAGACAATTAATCTAGCCATCAGATCTTAAAATAATTTTTAAATGTTATGGCCTTTTACAAAGAGTTCTTAATAATGCTGACGGAGCTAACTTCACAAATAAAACCAGCGTATCTATATGACTGTAACAATATATCTGAACTTTTTAGTTAGGGAAAAGCATAATGAGTCTCACCCCAATGCTGCACTCTCAAGTGCATGTGATTTGAATCCCAGTCAGAAACATTACAGCATGATGCATCGTACTTCATTGACACCTAGACTGCTCACAGATCTCAGATATGAAACTACATTGCACTTTTCAGACATGTCCAATGCCTCTTTTACAGAGTCTGTACTTGTCTGTTTATCCCTTGTGCCAGACAGAAAGCAAGGCTTTGTATACTGTTGATTCACACAGGTCTCTGGACACTCAAAGATGAGACACATCTCCTAAATAATAATAATGGACATGATTATGTCTAAAATATAATCTCATTTGGACAACACTGTAGTGTTTAGTGAAAGTAAAAATAGAAGAGCACCTACTTAAAAAAAAAACAAACAAAACAAAACAAACAAACAAACAAAAAAACCCCAAAACCACAGTGTCTATACTACAAATTCTTATGAGATCTCAAAAAAGCTGCTTTATATGGTGATTTCTGAAAGTCTGGCCTTTTCCTTTCACTATCTGCATGGAAGCTTCTGGATGATTAACAGTATAAAGATGAGGTTCTTCATATCTGATGTCTAAATATGAATTTATAAGCACTTAGATTTGACAGTTTTAGCTTCAACTACAGTTCTTTATTATCCTCAGATGCCTTTTTCTCATTATTCCCCTCACAGAGTTGTTCTTGAATATAGCTGTCTGCATTTGAGCTTCAAAAGAGGTTATTTTATCACTTTTAAAACATTGTGACAGATATGTAAATGCTTTAACATTTTCAGGTAAATATTTATTTCTAAGGCATTTTCTATCAGCTGTCTGTTATTTAACTATTTATCTGTGTTTTGTCCAGTAGTATTTAACTTCTAAAAAAAAATTATTCTACTAACAAAAGCTAGTGTGAGCTATCAGCATTAGGACAGTACACCTGTATATGTGAATAAGTCTGTGAACCTGTCAGTTGGAATTCATGAATAAAAATGTTCTCCATCTTTGTAGTTTGTTCAAATTGTACAGACTAATATCTCAGAAACTTTAAAATTTAATAACAAATTAGGGTTTTTTCATAAGCAGTTCAGTCTATAATTTGCCTTTTGGCCCAGTCTGGCAGTCTTTTTATTCAAGAAAGAGCTGACATGGAATTTAATGAAGTTAATCTAGTTTGATGCTATAGAAATGAAGAATTGATATGCATAAAATGTTTCTGAATTACGACTGCTTTCATATTAGGTGAAGTCACTAATATAATGGTAGTAAAATTCAATATTTACCCACTGACAAATCAAACTGTTCATTTTGGTGTGTGTATAGTGTTAACTAAAGTCATTATCACAATCCTAAAGGTTTAATTACTGCAGCTTTTCTTCTCTCTTTTGTGAAAGAACATTGAAGAATGAATTCATAGCAAAACACCACTCCCAGTCACAGAATCAGAATCACAGAATCATTCAGGTAGGACAAGACCCTTGGGATCGAGTCCAACCATCAGCCCTACTCTACGAAGATCTCCCCTACACCGTATCCCCCAGCATCTCATCTAAACCACCCTTAAACACATCCAGGGATGGTGACTCCACCACCTCCCTGGGCAGCCTATTCCACTGTCTCACCACTCTTTCTGTGATTTTTTTTTTCCTAATTTCCATTCTGAACCTCCCCTGTTGCAGTTTAAAGGCATTCCCTCTTGTTCTGTCACTATTTACTGTGAGAAGAAACCAGCAGCAACCTCTCTACGATGTCCTTTCAGGCAGCTGTAGAGAGTGATGAGGTCTCCCCTCAGCCTTCTCCTCCTCAAACTGAACAGTCCCAGCTCCTTCAATCGCTCCTCATAGGATTTGTTCTCCAGACCCTTCACCAGCTTCGTTGCCCTCCTCTGCACTCGCTCCAGCACCTCGATATCTCTCTCATATTGAGGTGCCCAAAGCAGGACACAATACTCCAGGTGTGGCCTCACCAGTGCAGAGTACAGGGGGACTGTCACCTCCATACTTCTGCTGGTCACACTATTTCTGACACAAGCCAGGATGCCGTTGCTTTCTTGGCCACCTGGGCACACTGATGGCTCATGTTCAGTTGCTTGGCAATTAGAACCCCCAGATTCTTCTCTTCCAGACAGCTCTCCAGCCACACCTCCCCAAGCCTGTAGCCATGATTGGGGTTGTTGTGGCCCAAGTTCAGGACCTGGCACTTGGCCTTGTTGAGGCTCATCTGTTAATGTTGGCCCACTGATCCAATCTATCCAAGTCTCTCTGTAGAGCCTTCCTGTCCTCATGCAGATCGACACTCCCTCTTAACGTGGTGTCATCTGCAAATTTACTGATGATACACTCTATGTCCTTATCGAGATCATCAATAAAGATGTTGAACAGAAATGGTCCCAACACCGAGCCCTGAGGAACACCACTTGTGACCAGCTGCCAGCTGGATTTAGCTCCATTGACCTCGACTCTCTGGGACCGTCCATCCAGCCAGTGCTTGATCCAGCAGACTGTTTACTCATCCAGGATATGGGCAGACAGTTTTTCTATGGGGAGTTGTGTCAAATGCTGTATGAAAATCCAGGTAGACAATACCCACAGCTTTTCCTTTGTCCAACAGTCAGGTCATTTTGTCATAGAAGAAGATCAGGTTTTTCAGGCAAGACCTGACTTTCATAAACCCATGCTGACCTGGCCTGATCCTCTGGTTGTCCATTATATGACTTTTAATGGCACTCAAGTTGACCTGGCACCAAGGTCAGACTGACAGGTCTACAGTTTCCTGGATCCTCCTTTTTGCTTCTCTTTTTGATGGGTGTTACAATTTCTACCCTCCAGTCTGATGTGACCTCCCCAGTTAGCCATGACTTCAGGTAAATGACGGAAAGCAGCTTGGCAAGCACATCTGCCAACTCATTCAGCACCATCGGTTGTAACCCATCTGGTCCCACGGACTCAAATGCATCCAAGTGGTGTAGCAGGTCTCTGACCACCTCCTCTTCAACTGTGCTGAAGTTGGTCTGCTTCCCCTCCCCATCTCCCAGCTCCTGAGGCTGGGTGTCCAGGGAACAGCCAGTTCCACTGCTAAAGACTGAGGCAAAGTAGGCGTTGAGCACCTCAGCCTTTTCCTCATCCTTAGTTACCATGTTTCTATCTGCATCCAATAAAGGAGGGAGATTTTCCCTAATCCTCCTTTTGTTGTTAATGAATTTATAGAAACATTTTTTGTTATCTTTAAGAGCTGTGGCCAAGTTGAGCTCTAGCTGTGCTTTGGCTCTCCTAATGTTCTTCCTGCATGACTTCACTACATCTTTATAGTCTTCATGAGAGACCTGCCCCCTCTTCCAAAGGCAATAGATTCTCCTTTTGTTCTTGAGATCCAGCCAAATGTCCCTGTTTAGCCAGGCCAGTCTCCTTCTCTGCCTGCTTGTTTTTCGGCACACAGGAACAGCCTGATCCTGTGCCTTTAAGACTTCTCTCTTGAAGTACGTCCAGCCTTCCTGAACTCCCATATCCCTCAGGGCAGCCTCCCAAGGGATTTTGTTAATCAGTCCTTTGAACAGTTCAAAGTTAGCCCTGAGGAAGTCTAAGATGGCAGTTTTGCTAACCCCTCTCTTTGTTTCTCCAAGAATCAAAAATTCAATCATCTCATGATCACTGCACCCTAGACCCCCTCCAACCTTTACTTCCCCCACAAGCTCTTCCCTGTTCACAAGCATCAGGTCCAGGAGGGCACCTTCCCTGGTCGGCTCACTCACCAGCTGTGTGAGGAAGTTATCCTCCACACAGTCCAGGAACCTTCTGGATTATTCCCCCTTCGCTATGTTGTGTTCCCAGCAGATACCTGGGATGTTAAAGTCCCCCACAAGAACAAATGCAAGTGACTGCAAGATTTCTCCCAACTGATTATAGAAAGCTTCATTCACCTCACCGCTTTTTTTTGGGGGGTCTATAGCAGACTCCCACAGCAAGATCTGCTTCATTGGCCCTTAACCTAATCCAAACACTCTCAGTTCCATTATCACTGTGTTTGATTTCTGGGCTGTCATAGCGTTCTCTTACATACAGGGCCACTCCACCACCTCTCCTTCCCTGTCTGTCCCTCCTGAAGAGCTTGTAGCCATTGATTGCAGCACTTCAGCTGTGTGAGGCATCTCACCACATTTCTATTATAGCTACTATGTCATAGTTCTCATGGTGCATCATGGCTTCAAGCTCCTGCTGTTTATTGCTCATACTGCGTGCATTGGTATAGATGCACTGGAGATGAGCTAATGAACCCAACATCTTCTTGTGAGTGTGGGCCCCATTTCCTACCAGACCCTTCTCAGGTGCTTCCATGATTTCTAAACATCTACCAGTTCTCTCAAATGAAATGGCATTCTCACTCGTCCACTATCCTTCAAGGTTTGTCACACTTCCCTTGAGCTTATTTGTAACAGGCCCTGTTATCTCCCCCTTCCCCCTCATATCTAGTTTAAAGCTCTGTCAATAAGTCCTGCTAACTTCTGCCCCAAAATCCTTTTCCCCTCTGGGAATATGCATCCCACCTGTCCCATTTGTCACCAGCAGACCAGGTGCCTCATAAACTTCACCATGAAGTCTTCTATAGCAAAATGAAATCTAAGGATTTAGCAGAATATTGGTATAAAAGGTCTTGAACAGCAAACATGGAGGGGGATTAGGCTTCTAATAATACTCGTCACCTCCAGATGCAGAGATTTAAAAAAATTTAACACCCTCAGAATTTCCCAGTCTCTCCTGGCTTTCTTTTGCATCTCTCTCTTTTTGGAGTTCTGTTGAAAATATGAGGACAACGTGATGTGAGGTGGAGATACAGGTGTTTAATATAGTTTTTGTGACTTTACAAAAAACCAACACTTTCTAACAACTAACCCTTCTTTCTTCCATTTAGAGTGGAGTATGTGGGGGAGGGAATCAAAAACCCTCTTACTGTTCAAGTTTAGTCTTACTGGAAACTGAATAATATAAATTAGGGAAGTTACTCTTACTTTCTCAGAAGTAGAAAAAATACTAGTGATAAATTAAACTGCCTGTGTAAAGAGTATGATTATCATTCCAGACTCTCTGAGGTATCCAGAACTGGGTGACAGAACCCTAAATTCTTTATTACATTTTAACCCCTAGGCAGATACCTTGGATGTCACTGAATATTTTAAATGGGATTTGCTACCTATGCTTAAGTGGATCCTTCCCCAAGCATCAAAATGTAGAGCTTTTATCCTATTTTCAACTGTATTTACTATAAGAACTTCCGAGTTTTCCTTAGTTGTACATAAAAGGCAAGTCTATATATCATTACATTACCTTGAAAAAGAAGTAATTTATCTCTTGTTAGAACAGATTTTCTGTAGGTAAATGCATCATGACACTTTTCCGATGTATATTTAAATTGCAGACGAGAATGTCATCAATACAAACAATACAGACAAGCAATGAGAGGAGGCTACTATAACATGTGTGTTTGTGATTATATTTGTACCTATATGAAGGAGGCAATGATAACTATTCAATTGCAAATACAAAAATTAATTATTTGTATTTGTAACATGTGGTGAAAGGCATTGGTACATCACTTGAACAGAAATGCATTCTTTGGAAACATGCCAGTTGTTGATAATTCATTGCAAATTATTTTGGGTTCAGCTGTATCCAGAGTTAGGATTCTATAGCAAAGCCAGAATAAACACAAGGGAAAAAGTAAGAAGTTGTATTATTATTAGGAATTTTGAGACATATACTTTCACCTTTAGACTGAATAGTGCTTATATCAGTGGTATCTCATTCTGCAGAAGTTTAAGCCTTTCTATTAAGATTATTTCACTAAGATATTTTTATTGTTTTGATGGGTTAGCGTTGCCTAACAGCCAAACACCAACCTAACCACTCACTCACTCCCCTCCCTTAGTGAGACAGGGGCAGAAAATAGGATGAAAAAGCTTGTGGAATGAGATAAAGACAGGGAGATTGTTTACCAAGTACTGGGGAATATTAATTTAATTGACTGTCATTTAAAATATATTTGAGTAAGGACAAGGAAAGAAAAAACAACAAATTTCTTCCACGCTCTTCCAAGCTTAATTCCACACCTTCACTCCAGACTCTTCTACTCTTCTCCTGAGCATAGGGGTATAGGGGAAAATAGGTATGGGTGGCTCCTCTCTGCCACTGGGAAAAAAAAAAAAAAAAACAACCAACAAACAAACAAAAAAACCAACTGCTGCGGAGTGTGTTTGCCTGCAGGATATAGCTCCTTCAGGAAATATCCATCTGCTCCAGTCTGGGTCCTCTCTTTCTCCTCCTTCTCCTCCTCTTTCTTCTGACCTTGATGGTCCCTCTACTGTTTCTCAGTCTATTTTCTTTTCTTTACTAACAGACCAGAATTTTCTGCTCTTTCCTAAACATGTTTTCACAGAGGCACCACTGGACTCAGCTGGAGCCTGCAGTGGTTCACTTGCAGAGTCAGATGGAACTGGCTGTCCTTGGCACAGGGAAGCCCTGACTTCTTCCCACATCGGCCACCTTTGCAGCCCCCTGCTACCAAAACCTTGCCACATTTACACAATGTAGTGCTAAATTGAAAAAAAATCACTTTACAACAACTTTTCACTTTTCCTATTTAAGATCATACATCAACAGGTTCTACATTTCTCCCAGACCCACCAAACCTTTTGAGAAATGTAATGGTTGAGGAGCAATGATTTATCTAGGGACCCTCCTACTTCAAATATGCACCATGATGAGAATTCAAATGGTATTTCTTCATTTTCTGTTAGATTTTTACTAGAAAAGATTTAGGAGGTCTCATTTTCTGGTTTATCTTGTTTTTTTTCTTCTTTTGAAACCCTGATCTTTGTTTTATGAAGGAGAAATGCTGATTTCTGGCCAGGTTTTCTTTTCCTTTTTTAGATGAACCATACAGCTGAGAAATTTCTACATACATGGATGGATATTCATTAATAATTAATGTCTTCAGTTTCATACAATATGATGCACATTGGATTAGACTTCAGCTACTTTATATTAGTTAAGTGAGTGTTGAATTTCTACACCAATTATGGGATTCATTTACGTAACATTTGATTCATTTCTTGTAACATATTGCATTTCTCTGAATATAAAACTAATAGTAATAAAATTATGGTTAAATGATGACAGTACACACATAATTTACCTACATGTAATTTAATCTTTAACATCATTTGCCTGTCAGCATATTGCACTGTTGAAGTGCTTGGTGGCAGGAGGAGATGAAAGATATTCTGCTCTTTTTTTTCATTTGCTCAAATTTTATCTGTTTATTTTTATACCAAAAAGATAATTTTGTTGCTAAAATTACTTGAAGCGTCAACATTAGTTCCTCAGTGTCACCAGCTGGTGATAGCTTCCCAGGTTTTGATTTGGTCAATAGATGCATAGTTGTTCCAGTGGTAGGTGAATTATCAATACATTAGTGTAAAAAATTATTTAAGTGAAAATTCAGTTCTCTGTTTGACTGAGATATTGTGTGTCATATGGAAACAGTAGGGCATTAGCCTTCACAGCCTTTAAATACTGGGAGGATTCCTGAGGTAAACACATTCATGAGCTCACATTGCTGGCTCATAGTCAGCTTTTCATAGACTACTATTCCCAAGTCCTTCTCCTCAGGGCTGCTCTCAAACCACTCATTGCCCAGCCTGTTGTTGTACATGGTTTTCCCTTATACCATGTCAAGGTCTTCCCTCTCCCATTGCAGTGGAGTACCATAACTGCTACATTGTATCTTTTATCTATTTCTTCTTCTGGATTTTGTTGTATAGTAATTCAGTTTCAGTAGAAAGAATGCAGGGCTTCCAGTGAGGGCCCATTTTCACCCAACTAACTGTAATGTGGTTGTTTTTTGAGACAGTTTTGCAAGATGAGGAACAAACTGAACCACAGTATTTTGTTTTTCATTCAATATATTTCTTAATTAGATTGTTATTAACACAATGTCAGTGAAGCTGTACCCTGTTTGCCTTTTTCTGTAGTTGTGTTTCAAGAAGAATGTTCTCCAAATATCACTGTAAGCACTTACAAAGGTTGTGTAAAGAGAAAATTTTCGTGTCCTGGATACTAACTGAAGGGGCTGCCACTTAGTTTGCTGTTGTCTTTGAGTAAAAAAGTTCAAAAAGATCCTCAGAAATTAAGAATAATCACATAATCAGAACATTTTTTCTTACCTTTTAGTTGTCTTAAATCAAAACATTTTAGCCTTTCACTTTGATAGTGCACAAAAGTATAAAAATGTATGTGCTGAAATGGTCTATAACTTTTAAAAACTCTGCCACAGAGTAAGTTCATTTTGAAATATTTATTTTTCCATACAAAGAAAATATAATTAAACAAAACTAAAAGGAAAAATTAACAAGTACACTGAGTAGTTTAATATCCACAAAAAAAAAAAAAAAGCAAATAAGAAACAATGGACCAAAGCCTTCTTTCAAAAATTTAGTAGCAGTTTTGAATATTCAGTGTTCTTTTGGTGGTTTTTCACCTGAACTAGAGCTATTTGCATTAATGCAAATTGCAGCTCTGTAGCCTCAGACGTTACATTCAAAGCTCATTTTCTGATGTCATTATACCATGGCTTTTTGGAAAAGTGATTTACTTCATATTCTAAAATACTGTTCACAAAGATGTTCTGACATAATTAAGTCAATACAATTACTTATAATCTCCACATAAAAGTAATTATTTCATTGACAAATATTATTTTGATTAATGCAGACTAATGATGTCATTTGCTGCAGTTATGGTTGTTTTGTGAAAATTCTGTTTCAGCACATCACCCTGTAGGCCTGTCATTTTATAAAGGGAGAACTAATGGAAAGTAACTCCACAGTCTGGTCAGAAACTGAGAGGCTCTGCAGTCCTTCCATATTGACAAACCCAGATTAAGTATTTAAAAAATTAAAATGCTATCCTCCTTGTGGCTCTAAATGCTTTCCTTCCCTTTGCTCCAGAATATTAAGCAGAAAGCAAGCCACAAGGCTTTGTACTGTTCCACATGCTAAAATAAAGGGTACACTTTTAACTATAGGGATATAAC